CCTGTGTACCTCTACGATATATACTAAAGACAAATACAGATAAAAATCAAGGAGAACCATATTCTCTTACCACAAATTCTCGGTAACATTTCTCTGCTTGGTCCTTGGATGAAAATTTCGCAGGAAGACCGTCTAGTTGTTTTCGTCCAGTTTTCATCATAAAAATCATCCTCGAATGGGAGGTTTCAAAAGCAAGTTGAAGTGATCTTACATGGGACTGGTGCTGAACGGCAAGGAATCGCTGCTGAACACTGGAAACGAGCTGCTGGTCGACAACGATTCCGCCATCAAGACCACTATCAACAATYGCCTGAAGACTGGTCTGATGGTTCTCGATATTTTGGAAAAATGACTGTAGGAGAATTATGAATGACTTTAATGTTTAACAATGAGATATCTCCTTCTCTCGTTTGTTTGACCAATCGTCCATCCATATCCAACAATAAATCATCCATTATTATTTCATTCAATCATCCATTTATTTATTGTCTCATTCATCCCATCCACCATCCATCTGCTCATTCGTTCATTCATTTTCCCATTCACTCAATTTCAAACTCACCTCGTGCTGTCTGAGAAGAAACCTGGAAGGAACACCATAGCCGCGCCCTTCTTCGGTCTTATGACAACCAAGAAGTGCCTCAGCTTCGTGCAACCATAGCAACAACCCACTGAGCTTGCCCTCATTCTTCTTCTCTCCCTCAGCCGGAAGTTCAAATAACCGTTCCTCTAAGACTTTCACTTTCCTTTTTACCACTTCCCATTGGTTGACGACGATTTTGACTTTCTCTTCSGGTACAGTTAAGGTAGAATGCTTGTGGGTTACAATTCGTGTTATGTGATATTCACGACGTTGGAGCTCTTGACGAAAAACTTGGAGATTTTTCTAAACAAAAACAAACATGAGAGAATAACTAATGGCTGTCTATTAGTTTATGTGGGATTTGATTGATTGGTCGGAAATTTGTTCTTTACATAATGCTTATTATCAAATGATGTTTTTAAAGGATCTTTAATTAATCGTTTGTTACTCTAGTTCAAATCGGATTTAACCAAGCAATGATCAGTATCCCTAATGGAAAACAAGGCATGGAACACGTAAAATAAACGGAGAGCCATCGAAACCCAATTGCTTTTATGGGGTTACAAACATCAAAAATGCATCTCGTTTGCCGTATGCATCATGAGAACGGCATTCAAAATACTGGTTTATGTAACTTACACTCATATGAAATCACAAGACGGCAATAGTCTCCTCCTTCACGGTTACCTGCGCCATCTTCAAAGGTAGCCGTGCCTTTGCATCGAAGCGAGACGACCGTTGAGCGTGCAATGATGGAAATTTTCTTTCGCACCTACCGACAATTATTCACAGGTATCTATCATTGCACGCTCAGTTGTCTCCATGGATTCGATGTAAAGGCTACCTTTCAAAATGGCGCAGGTGACCGTGAAGGAGAKTATTTATATTTGTCCTTCAGGTATCGCARTTGTGACGCACAGCGTTCAAGTATTTTGAGCAAACAGCAATCAAAAAATGTCAAACTCAAGGACTTTGACGTAAACTACAACTCAGTGTGGAAAACATAAAATGACAATGGAAGTGACACTTCAGTTTCGCTTTTGTTTTGTTGGGTTTCTAAGGGAGTAACAATAAGGCAGCTTTATTCTTGTCTGCATGTTTTGGTTAAATTATGCGAAGCTTGATAAAAAAAACTATAGCTCGTTATCAAGAAATTTAAAAAAATAGTAGATCCGGCAGCTTCCTAATCTCAAGATYAGCTCATCTTCGAGCTCCTTTTGCAAGGTCAGGATTAGCAAATAAAATCGTTTTTTTAGAATTGTTTTTTTTTACTATAAGATAGTATATCTTACYATGGGTGGATCATGTACCATTCCACAATCCCGAGTCCTCATCTTACCTGATGGCTTTGTTCGTCATCGTCCATCCATTCCTGTTCCATTAAGGTCAGTCTTTTSTCGATACTACTTAACCATTCCAAGATCGCACTGACTTCGTCGTTAAAAGTTGATTCCACGACTTTAGTTTCCTCTCCATCTTCTATCTAAAGGAAAAAGGTAGGAATMGTTTAGGTAAATATAGCCCTCATTAATCGATTAATCGAAATAAACAATCGATTTATCGAATGAGTTGTCGTTCTATGTGAATTTGGAGATTTTTTTCAAGAGAGGCATTTCTTGTGTAAAAGAAATGCTTAGAAATAACTTYAATTTTCTTGTAAACTTAAAAACAAACTGGTGATTTCGTTAAGCAATATTTATATTTYACGAAGAGRCCATAGGATCTGCAAACTACCTTTGACAAGTCTGACAAAACAGTTACAAAAATAGTAAAAGAAGAGATACGTCAAAAATCTCATATTTCACTGCTTTAAGAATAACTGAATAACTGAATAACAGTAGGAAATGCGCTTGTGGACATCGTAGAGAATGGTTTAAAGGATACCACAATTAATGACCTCTTTCGTCAAAAAGATAAGGCATAAATAAGCTGAAGAAGATACCTTTGACATAAGAAGCTATCGTGACGGGAAAAAGGRAATTATACATCGTACGAAAGTGGTACTACAGTCGAGAAAGAGTCGCTTAAAAGCGAGTTTCGCTTTGAACGTTTTCATACGTTTGCATTGTTTGTTGTCAGGAACATGATACGATGAAGCTGCAACATCGCGTTATAGGTTACCGATATTTTGATAAAGGGCGAAAGATCAAATTATGCCGTTATTCCGTTATTTTATATTCTCACTAGATACATGTGTTGAATCAGCGAAAACAGTTGTYCATGGRCYCTATGASAAGAAACTAATTGCGGAAAGGAAAAAAAAWTMGYAAAAAAATATTGATCTGCGATTTCAATCTGATAAAAGAATTACAAATATGTAATAATGTTTATGTTTTGATGTAAAACGTGTAGAAAAATTTAAAACATGGTAGATTTTTTCTTTATAAATGCAGTCCACAATTTTCCCTCAAATTTCCTTTTCTTGCTTTAACATTTGTTCATTTTCCTCTGGAAAATCTACACCAAACGACTTTCATCTTCCGGTAATAATATCAATCTCGAAACGCAAAGTTTTCATTCCTCACTGCGCGTGTTTGACGAAATGCAAGCACAGTGCGCACAGGTGTCTGGGATAGTACCTGTTCATCGCGATCGTTAGACTCCTTGAATACGCACTGCGAGTGTCTACGTGATTTTGCTCATGCGTAAAAGATCAAAAGTGACTTTTGTGTCAGAGTCTCTAAAAGACGCTGGTTCCTACTTCTTTATCTTCGCCGTACCCAGATAACAGCAATAGAAGTCATGTCACGTTTTCCATCTTATAGTCATCATCTAAATGGTTTATCAAGCTCAAATGCTTTTAAATCGCTCAAGGTCTCCTCGTTATTTATGGTTGTGAAGAGCATTTTATGGTCTTAAAGGCTCACTTCCATTATCGATGCTTTACGCACATCATTTTAATTTAGTCTAACACGAAAAGGAGATCTAATGRGACTATTTCAATACYCATTTTTCCAWTCAATCCTTTGCAGAAGTACCTATAAGCGKAACCACAGACATGATCACGCTATTATAAAGACATCGATCGTATACCGWTTAATATTMCTAGCTTGGAAACCAAGAAATTCGGAGTTCGTGCTCAGATCCTTCGTCTGTGGCACGAGTAAACGTTATAAAGAGATGCACGATGTTTGCAATAAAAGAYTTATGACAATTGTTATGATAAAAGGAACAATTGTACATCGTAAAAGGATAAAAAAAACTTGCCGAGATTTCGAACCTTTGGTCCTCCGTTTAAACCTCTATTCTGTGTACGTAATATAGAGGTGACCAAAATGCAGTGGTGTCTGTTATGCAGAGGTTCAAATATAACGAGGTTGCTATGTATCACCAAGTCGAAAGTTTAGATTACCGCGCAGTGTTTGCTACACATTTCTTCACACGGATTGGTTTACAAGTTTATARTGGATTCATAACAAAGTAAATACTCAAAACAATAAAATGGCAATTGTTTTCATACTTGAGACGCTAGTTTCTAAAACAATATCTACACAATAGTCAACCATTATGTATATTCCACTGAGTATAAAAACACGGCTGTCAAAAATTGATATTAAAAAGATTAAAATCATTATTTAAATCGTCTATAAGTACCATTAAATTGCTAAATGATTTTACATTAATTCATGTTGTGTTTATGTTAAGTATTAAACCCTGGGGCAAGAAATATATAAATAAAACGATCACAACTTAAAATCTGTGGATTTTCTTGATCGCAACATGTTCAGATTGAAACAAAACCTTTGGTATAGTCTACCTTAGCAAATATCGCGATTCTTAGCCAAAAATTCAGCGTTTTTGTCGCTAAATTAGGTTGTTTTGCTTGTGCGTGTAGATTAGAAGCTAAATCCACATAAACTAAACCTTGCATTGAAATWACTTACAGCGTAAATCCGTCCTCAGTGGTGCAAAGTGTGTAACTGACACATATTTGGACATACAGGTGGCAGACATAACATCGAACTATCATGATATRAGTRCAATTTGAGATYATAGTTTTTTCCATTCGTGCAGTACTCGTCTTTATTCATGGTTGGGCGACAATAAAGCCCCACGTAGGAATAATTACAAAATTCTAATAACTTCGCTTAGCAACAAGAATTACGTCTAATTTAGCATCARATGTCGGAGCAAACAAACCTAAATGAAACCCGGCATTTGAATTAAAATCACTAGTCTTGGTAGAAGTGGTTTGCAGAAAAAATTGSKAAGACGGCAAACTGTGATTTTACAAGAGCTAGTGACGGCTTTCCAACCGTATCTATAGTAATCACAGCAGTATTCATCAAGACCGAAGTATCGATTGACGAGGAAATACTATTTTGAAATATATAAACATCAAATTTAATTGACARATCTTGTTGAAAGCATCTTTAAACTTCATATTGCTATTCACTTAATACGGGAAAAAGTCCATAAAATGGAAATTGTGCAAGGAAGATAATAAAATATGAAGGGAAAAACTAGTACTTTTCCTGCACGATACGATGACAAGAAACCTTCGTCAAATTGTTAAGAAAATTAAGCGAAACCTGAAGGTTAGGCAACATGGCSACCTTCAAACACGATGTATTCATTATTTGAATATGCCGGATCGGAAATATAAAGTATCAATTTATGCATGAAATTACTTACAGTCGAAATAAGGATATTGTTGGTAGCGTAGTAAAAATTTAATTCTTACCTCGATTTCTGGTTAAAAGCTTTTCAATATTCCATGTATTCTATCTTGGATAAACGGCCAATTTCAGTAAACGRATGGTGTTAATCGCAATAGAAAACCAAAAATGTTAAGGAACTAATGCAGCCATTGAAGATAAAAAGATGTTTTTGAAATCAATGGAGCTATTAGTACCGCAGCCTSTCACGTGACAATCAATAACAAGAAAACACCTCACAATGTGTTAAATAATAAAAATCTGATTATAAAAATAACTGCAAACMATTGCTGGAATGTCATAGAGTAAAGAATTCCGCTTATTATAATATATGAAACCCACTAAAAGAACTTGGCAACTGAATATTACATGTAATTCAAATTTTTTTTCACAAAAAAATCATACGTTTTGGCAACAGCTAAATTGGTTTAAATTAAAACTAAATGAATTGAATTAATTTATTATATGTTTAAGTTTTTAATTTAACTTGACATTCCCTTGATATGCTCAAAATTATCGTGGGAGCTCGGACAGATGACTTGCATTTTTGACCAGTAGAATTAATATTGGAAAAGAACATAGCGAGATCYGTTTCCTTTTAAACCTTAAACGATTTGATAATGAAAAAATATTTTGGTTTAATATTGGCACGCAGACGTCTTTTCTTTTTTTGTATGGTTTTGAGTATACATGATGCGAAATGTTTCTAAGCAATATTACAGCAATAAATGTCAACCACAAAAAAAATGTCCAGTTAGGTAGTGTATTTTTTGTGAACTAAATTTCACTTATTTTCATTTATTTTGTACATTACGATGATAACGGCAACAATCTTATAGATATCTAAATCCTTTTACCTCCGTTGCGCCACGACAGATGCGCATTACTCAAAGAGATCTAATCTTTGTTCCTGAAAATCATTATATTTCACTTTGACTAAAAAAAACGTCAAACCATTGGACAGTCTCTCTCCGACCAAGAAAGCCCTTGGCTAAGAAATCTTATTTTAATGTATGTAACGTACATTTTACTGGTTAAGAAAGCTACACGACCACACGCAGCCGGACATGTTCAGTTCGCAAATATCCGGGAATTTTCGAAAACACTCTCAAAAAAAAAATAATAATAATAGAACTGAATACTTAAAAATACTGGCACTTTCTTAAATACTGAAGCTCCAAAACTGACAATGTGCAGTCTTCCATTAACCTTTTGTTTGTGTTGATTATCATTTCATTTGCACTGCATTCGGATTATGTGATACTCGGGATGGGTGTGGCACTTTGCTTCCACCAAAATATAGCGACGTATTAATTTTTTTTAAAGGAATTAAACAAACACCGCAAATTACCTCAGATTCACTGCTTGAAGATTCACTCTTCATTTCCTTGTCTTTGACAGAAACCTTCTTTTTGGTTTTGCCAGATGCACCGACACGGGATCCTGTTGCCACACTTTTCCGTCTCTTTTCGGCTGATGATGGTGACAGGGATGACTTTCCAAGACGTTCAGATGAAAGAGAAAGCGTAGATGAAGACCTCTTTCCAGTTAGTTTATCTGGGGACAGCTTGTCTGGTGAAATACTTTGTCTTTTTGGTGGTGATTTGTCAGTACCAGCGGAAGGCGAAAATGGTCGTGTACGAGCAGACTTTTTATTTTGTTCCAAAGAATCTGACGGGGAATTCACACGTTTATTTTGAGTGAGTTTTTCGGTTGAGTTGGGTYTCCGCTTAGTTTGTGGACGTTCTCCTGGTGTTGGGCTCAATGCTGATCTTTTGGTTTTCTCGGGGGACTTATCTGGTGATGAAGGCCTACTGTCCGACTTYGTAGGAGAAACAGACCTAGAAATATGGTTGATTCTTTTTAATGACATTTTATTCCCATTTACAATTCCATTTTAGTTGTTTTTCATCTCTTTTAATTTAAAGATGAGCAAGCTTCAAAAATACGAATTGAATACTGGCASTTTGGGTCTATCTGAATAAAGGTACCAATGTGGTCTGGCAATGGTACTGTCCTGGTTTCTGGTCCTCAGTTGGATCCTCAGTTTTGGTACCATAAGTACTATGATTTGAGTTTGCACTTTGTCCTTGATAGTTTTCTTTTTGATACTTTCATCAATTACAATYCCACGGTACACACTTTACCTAGTTCCATCTCTTTACTCCGACGAAGGATTAACGTCCGAAACGCCAGTAAGTTATTTCACCTACTTTTTTATGGTGTTAGATTTATCTTTTTACACAACTGTTTCTTTAGAAACACCGACGCAGCTCACTAGTCTACCGCTAGTTCCCACCAGTACCACGGTATACCTCACCAAATCAKCGTAACGTCAGCCATAATGGATGAACACCATTAAAACGAAAAAAAACATATTTCTAACATTACAACATAGAGTTACCTATCCACGSCATCTCTACTCTTCTTGGCGCTTGCAGCAACAGCWACATCTRTAACAGTTCGCTTTCCTGGTTGACGGACGGCTCTCTCAGCTGCCGCTGTTTCTTTGGCCTTTTTAGGAGAAGACTCACCGAGAGAATCACATAGCGCCGCGACGTACGTTATGATTGATCTTTCATCGGGTTTCTCGACATCAACATCTACGATGAAATACATAAAACATATTATTCACAAATTTTCAGCTACGCAGCTATAATTTAGACATGTTAAGCAGCTCAGATAGAATGACTGCTTAACATTTTTCAGATGAATTCTAAAGAATAGAACTATGTGTTTTGGACATTTTTGGAGCCCAGACCGACAGACTGCATGACATGACGGATTAATTGACATGACTGATTGACAGACTGACATGACGGATTGATTGACAGACTGAAAATGTGATTGAAAGATGGAAAGTGTGTGAAAGAGCGCGAAAGTTTGACTGACCAACTTACAAATTAACTAATTAATTACTTACAGATAGCTTACAGATTGACTTACTACCTGACTTGATTAACTGTCTAATTGACTGTCACTTATTAATCTTATTGTCAAAACAAAATATCAAATAAAGCTTACCTTCAGGTTCAAGTAATCTTGGCACATTAAGCTTATCACTTGCAACATCAAATGCTTCTTTCAAGTTTGTCATGTTATCTCTTTCTGATATACCATCAAGGTCAACTAACTCTGGTCTGAAATATTCAWTGAAATATAAGGCATTAAATTAACGATATTTAAATGGCTATAGCAGCTATTATTGTTATTTGTTTCCAACCTATAGGAATGAATGAGGTATAAAAACGCTTGTCCAGTTCTCCAGCTTTTACTAAAGTCCTTGATTTCTCCACTTGATCTAAGACAAAGAGGATTACAATCATTGATCAATCATCACAGTCACAACTTAAATTCAAATAATAATTATAATAATAAATAAGAATTGTATAGGGCCCTCACTATAAATATTCGATGGAGCTGTAATAGTATGATTTGGAAAATGCAAAATACAGTGAGAAAAGAAAGAAAATTGAACATGATCTACAATGTTTATATTTTAATTACAAACACATACCCTGGAGACTTTCTAGCTGTTTTTTGAGCCCACTCAAGAAGAAACTTCTTTCCTCTTGCTTTCTTTTTTGTGGCATAAAAACCCTCAACCTGTTTGAAGAGTGATTGAAAACAACTTTAAACAAGAGACTAGTTGCACTAAACTAGAAGGAATAC